TTGATGAATTTCATGCATTTCTTTCTAAGCAAATTGCTTTTGGATAAAAAAATAAAAGAGAGTTAGGCTGCAGGAGGTCCCAACTTAAATTGAATCTTTATTTTGTGAACAGATGTGAATAGCGGGAAGTGTGAATTCCACCCCTGGTAGTTTTTTGTTTATCATATTTGGGGGTATGTTTTATCCTACAGATGGTGTCCATTGCCTCACGTGTGCAATTATGCTGCTCAACACTGACCTCCATGGCCATGTGAGTATTTTTCAAATTACCTGTCTTCATTGAGATTCCAATATGCTCTTTCAGTACATTTTTTGCTTTTCAGGGCTCTCAGCCTAAATCCTTGCAAGTTGGGTTCTAGCAGCTGGAAAAGTCCCTGGTACTGTAGTTAAACAGAGGTAGAAGGTCATTGTGGGGTTTTAAACTGGATTGTTGTACCTTACTGCTTTCAATGTGTTTTAGTGTTGTTTTTGTTTATCTTTTTAGTATATTATTTGATCCTTTTTAGTATTTGTATACTTACTGTTTTTAGCTTTAAATATTGTCTTTTCATAATGTAAATCTCATTGAGCCCCTTTTAAGGAGAAAGACAGGGTAAAACTATTTTAAATGGATGAAGTGTTTTTGAAAGAGCCAAAGATCTAAAGCTAAGGTTCTACTCCAGGTGAGTGAGGGCCAAGTAGTGAATTAGATATTTGCATGCCAATAAGACACATATCTGGTAGGCGAACATTAGCTAGTATCAGGAAGGTAGAAAAATGGACAGTTTGATAAATACCAGCGGAATAGACTGCCTAATACAGCTTTCAGAAGCAATCCATTCTCCTGAGCAACTTTGATGTAGAGGGAAATGAGGCCAATTTCTCTCGGCAACAAGTAGGCCAGAAGAATGGGTTGCAGGAGATCTTGCTGGAAAGTGAATTAGGATGGGCTGTTCTTTATCATCTGACTTCCTTGTCTAGGCCTGAATTACCCACGGTTCCCTCTTCAGTGCAGGAGCTAGTGATGATGTAGGGAGCTCATGGGATGACATGTGGCTCCCAGTTCAAGCCAGTGCAAGAAAAACTTCATATCACAGTGCAGAATTACTTTCTTTTTTGGAATCTTAAAAGTCTGGCCACCTTGTGACGTGCACAATGGGAATCTAAATATAGAAGGCAAATTTTCAGAGATTTGGCGGGTGATATTGCAGAAGTATTCTTGTCCAAGGTACAAATAGCCATGTTTTCTTCCTCTCTTGCCAAGATTTCTGTCAAGCCAGTTGTTGGCTGAGTCCTATTTTAGAAAAGCAGGAACTGATAAAAAGTGGGACTGGTGCTGCTGGATGTGTTTTAAATCCTATTGTTAATGATGCTAAGAGATAGTTATTTTGGTCACTTAGGCACACATCCCCTCATGTTCTGATCCAACAGTGTGTATAGAACTATTTTGAGATGTATTATGTTTTCAAAAGTCTACAGTTGTATGTAAAGAAAGGGCCAAGCTATCTTTTCCTTTTAAACACATCCCACCTGCCATAAAGGGAGTTCAAATTTATTGAAATCCAGTCTAGTCAAGGTTAGACTAGAGTTTTTCCAAAAATTACAGCCGAGGTGAGTTGAAGTGGGAATTGGCTAGACCGAAAGTGGCATTGCAGGCAGCTATGTCAGTCGGCTGCAAACTAGAGGAAGGAGTAGGCTCCCACCATTGCAGTAAGCCTTCTTTCTATTAGGGTCTTTAAAAAAACTGATACTAGTCTCCTATTGTTAGAGAAATGCTGGCACCAAAATACAGGCAAAAATAACAGTCTTCTCATTGCTGACATGTCTTACTACTGTCTGCATTGCTGCATTGTCGTGCTGTGTTGTGAGCACTAGGTGGCAGAGTCCGCACAGCATTCTCAAACGTTGTTTCCTGATGGCAAATATAATTATTACCTATTTGTTGTATTTGAGTCAGAACACAGCATTCTCAAACGTTGTTTCCTGATGGCAGATGTACAGTAATTATTACCTATTTTTTGTATTTGAGTCAAAACATCACACCAGCATCACCATTGTGCCCCAAACATAGTACCATCCTACATTTCTGCCTGACCGGTTAATAGGAAGGTAGAATGGCAGGCAAGATTCTTTAGCGAGCTTTTTCTTTTACGCTAGAGCTGATAATTAAATATGTTAATTTTCTAGAGTGCCTAAAAGGATCTCAATTGGGAACACATCCCCCAGTTTTTAAAATGCTGTTCTTGCTGTTATCTTGCTTTGGTTGTTTTTCTCTTACTGTCTTCTCTCTTAATTGCCCACATACCCAGTTCATTGTTAGCTGCAGCAACCCATGTGACTTTGATGACATTGTAGTGTCCTTTTGACTTATAAGTCAAATCACATAGTGTGCTGCACCCAGCAGGAGGAAACAGCTATGTGGATGAATGAGATGAAAGTAAATGAAGGGGGCAAAGGAAAAGAAGAGCACTGAGCCTTTGTAGCTGCCAGGTGTGAACTTAAGGGTGTTGAATAGGACATAGCATAAATACATGTGCAGATGAGTAGGTTGTTGTTGTTGTTGTTGTTGATTTGGCTGTGACAGGTGTGCTTAAGAGTTGTTCACACAAAACGGAGCCCACAAACTTTTCACTGGTTACCGTCTCCCACTGCAACCCTCCAGGCCACATTCTAGGGAATGCTTTTTGGAGAGCCTCAGTGACTAGGCAGAAAGCAGGACAGGCTTGCAGGAGGAGATCTCTGTTAGGTAACACTGGATAGAATTAATTAAAATTAGAAGAGACAGTCATAATTTAGATATACTGTACTTAGTGTAAGAGCAAGTGTGAAAGATCCGTAAATGAGCTTCAGCATTTTAAATGGCTTCTGAAGTGGACTTGGGTTTTTTTTTCCTCCCACTTCATTTTGTTAAGTGTGAAATATAGAAACAAGTAAAATTTAATAGAATATTTCCTTTTGGAGTGTTTGTTCTAATGGCAATTTTTTTGTTGTTTTTGTATGGCGTTGTTGTTCTAGGTGGTAAGTTGAGTATTTATTGCTTGGAATGTTGCCATACCCTGGAATGCACTTAACCATCATTATCTGTTTCCTAACAGTAATTCCGTGCTTCGGCCTGTAAAGCATGTGGCACGATATTATTAAATAAGTTTTATGTTTATCTGTTTTATTTTTAACACTTGTATGCAGCTTTTTCTTTTCCTTAAAATCCCTGAGTGATCTGCAGTAAACAATGCATTCATCGGTTAAATTGGGCTTACTGTTTGGATTGCAGAGGCATATACTGTATGTAAAATGGGCCCAGCCTTTCAGCTTTAAGCAGGATTTGGAACTAGCTTGGTTAAAGAGTTACCCTGTTTAGTTTTTACTGGTCTAAGTCCCTTTTGAATAAATCCTTAGTGGGGAATTCACTCAGAGGAAAGGTGGGAGCTCTGATTCCATATTTTACTACTAGTCCCATAACTTCAGTTACGTGTAACTTTATAGAGAGAAGTATAAAAACCCCAGTAAATATGAATGATTCCCCCACCACTTCTGTTTTGACCTTTTTCCTTTTTGTGAAATCTAGTTCTGTTTTGAGGGAGATTTTTTAAAATACGAAATGCTCATTTTAGCTTGCAAATTTTAGACTTGTACTCTAGCAAAATGATGATAACTTTTCTTTGTAGCAGAATTTTAATACTCCTGGAATGCAATCCTTTTCCATACTTTGAGAGGTATGCTTGAAAAGCCTGTGCAATTTCCTAAGATACATCATTGCATTATGGCTGCAGGAGTGCTTACCCACTGATTTCTCCCTTTCTAGTATGGTAGCCCGTCTATACCAATTTGTATTTAATAACTGTGTTCATGAAGGTACACAAGAATGTTCCTGAGGTTTCTGTTGACAACTTGGTTTTTAAACTAAAAGCAGAGAAAATCCATTATTGCTTTTAATGCAGTACTTCTTGAAATTACTAACTCCCCCCCCCCCGATAATTTATATTAAAGTTTCCATATCATATTTCTTTCAGAACATTGGCAAAAAGATGTCTTGTCAAGAATTTATTGCCAACCTTCAGGGAATGAATGATGGCAAAGATTTCCCAAGGGAACTCTTGAAGGTGAGGCACTAAACTATTTATTGCGTTTGAAATGCAGTGTTCTGCTAACAGGGTCAACAGGCTAGAGCCTAGTGCTTCCAAACTGATAAAGCTCATTGTATTTTTTTAATTTTTTTTTTTGTTAAACAGTGACTAATAATATTTCCAATTACTTATTGAATACAATTCTCTTTCCTATTTGCCAGTCTAGAATTAAGGAAATTAATGTGACTATTCCTAACACAGAGATGCCAAATTCTGTGGTGAATAATGCCTTAAAAATATTGAGCCACCATCCCTAGGTGGTCCATGTTCAGAGGCAAGGATGCTACATCTGTTAGTGTTGGATGAGCTCCCCTCTCCTTAGAACACAGCCGGTAAGTTCATCCACAGCTCTCTGACTTTTGAAACAGGAAATTGACATATATTAATGCCGTTCCTGCCAATATGTGACTCCTCCAAAGCATTGAGCTAAGGGAGGATGTGGATGGGGAAGGTTCGGAGAGTGGGAGTCTCAGATGCATCCCCGTTACCAAGAATGCACAATCCTTCCCTTAATTTATTTATTTATTGGATTTCTACCCCGCCCATCTAGACCAAAGGTCTACTCTTAAGTGTCTACTACTACTTAAGTGTGATTCATTAAGCAAGCAGAAAGGGACAGTACCCTACAATATCTTTTGAGAAGCTGATCCAGACAGTACATGACATATCTTTTTAAGTGTAACCGAAGAGTGTGTCTCTAGTTTTTAATTCAGACAATTTGTTCAGCTATTGAAACCTGGGCAACCACTGTCATAGCATTAGACCATGCCAAGATATTTGAAGAGTGACAGCTTTGCTTTGTCATTATTGTTCTTAAGAAAATGAATGCAAAGGTGTGAAGTATAGTGTCTGCGAGCTATTGATATATGCCTTGGATAATCAAGGAAGACCCATTGGGGTAACTTAGTGGGCTGGGTAGAAATCCACAGGAATAACTGGGCAGCCGCTGTGTGTGTGCGTGTGTGCATTCATGTGTATCCAGGTGTAGCACACCACTGTGCCAGACATCTGTTAAGAGGTGTGGAGGAGAGGAATCTAGATTCGGTGCCAACTCTCTAGATTCAGTGCCAGTAGTTTAGCACCATGCACACAGTTCTCAGTGTCATAGTCTGTGCACAAGGCCCCTCTTCTTTGCACAAATTACACAATCTGTATAAGAACAAGTGAGTGCCTTGTATAATAACTGAAAGACAGAAAATGACCTGGAGTCTTTATCTGATAGTTAATGCTGACTGTTGAGTTGAGTATTAATGGTAATTCTTATCCCCACCCCCACCCAGAAAGCTTTGGAAAGAACGCACCTTTGGGCCTTTACATTTGAATAGAAGATTTAATTTGAGATCAGGACATGCTGTACACTGCACATTTGGCGCTTTTCTCAGCTTGCATGCCAGGTGGATGCGTATTCACTCAATTTGTTCTAGTAGCTGAATCTGAATGATTGGTGTAGTCTTGGTTCGAGCTGCCGAACATTTCCTATTGTCAGCCCTAATAGGAATATTTCCCTATCTTTTGTCTGATATGCTTATGCAAGAAGCGATAATTCTTAGCAGTGCGTTTGGTATGCAATGGAACAAAAAGTAGTGCAATGTTTTGTTGTGCATAGATGTAGTTTGAGGTTTCATAACATAAGCAAAGGGAGATTTGTGTTTACCCATCCTTTGGGTGTATTCCTTAATGAAATACACTGTGTAGCCAGGATCAGAGAATTAATGGGCATCTTATATGTCCCCTGAACCCTTCCCAGCATGTAAGATGAAGGGGTAATATTATCTTCCTATCTGTGAAAGTGTAAGTATGTGTCTGGGCAGTTTTAGGCTGGGAAAATTATTGAAAGTTCATTGCAACCTACCCAAAACAACTTAAGGAGTGATCTTATGGGGAAATAGATCACATTTTGGACTGCCTGTGGAGCGGTTCAGTGCGATTTACTTCCCAATGGTCACACAGCATATTAAGAAATATGTTCTAGCCTGACCTTGATTCATGGCAAACCTAGATCTTTTTGGGTCAGCTGTAGGACTGCTGCCTTTTATGGACAGGCAAAAGTGATTCACTGGCAGATGGAAGGGTCACTTTAAGAGAGATTGTTCCTCCTAAAACAACCCTTTCTGGTGCAATCAGGCATGTGCTTCTGCAGCCCTCTGATTACATCCTTAGAACATAGCCTAGGATTAATAAATCCAGTCCAGTCCTGTTTGCTACCAGGTTTTGAACAGAATGGCTATCTAGCTGTCAGACCAGATCGGCATCTAGTTCACTGTTTCTTTTTCTGTCAGCATGCAGCAACATTCCCTCTATTTTTTGGCCCTGCTGTGCAGCAGCCTCACCCCATGCCTGGGGTTGGGGTGCCAGCCAAAACTGGAACTAAATTGCTACCAACTCTGGCTGCAGGTATGCAATCAAATGCTTGAAATTCTCTCCCCCCCCCCGCCAAATTTTGTGCTCTGCTTCTAGCAATCCAACATTTACTACCTCCACGCACATTGGCTCTGCTTAACTGTGCTGAAAGACTACCCTTGATAACAGCCTTTCCCAACCATGAGTCTCTAGAGATCATTGAACTGTAACTTCTTTTATTCCAGCCAGTATGGCCAGAGATGATGGGCACTGTAATTAAAAAAAAACTGTTGAGGACCCAAGTTTGGGAAGAACATAACACATATTTAATCCTTTTTAAAAGCATTTGAGTTAGTAGCCATTATCATATTTTGCAGTAGTGAATTCCATACAGCAATTTTTCCCCATCTGCAGTCTCCAGTTGCTCAGATTCCTCACTTCTAATATTTCCTTCTCTGCACCCTCCACCTAGTGCGACTTCTCTTGTGCCCCTATTAATCCTCTCCCCTATCCTTCCCATATTCCAAATACTATTTCTTCTGCAAATGCTTGCAACCTCATCAAAGTAAGCAAGGCATCCTAAAGCATGAACTACTATTCCTCTAGACAGACTTATGAAAAGCTAAACAGACACCTTTTCATTAGGCTGCTGCCCTTAAAGGGAGGGGGAATATCTACTGCTAGGCCTCAGTGGACCCCAAAATAATTTCCAGCCAAGATATTTTGGGAGCAGAAGGCTCAGGCTCTGACTCATTCACTTTCTTACTTCCCTCCCTCTTTTGAATTCCAAGCTTGGAGCTGATTCTTGCTTGGCTTCTGGCCTAGAGAAGGATGTGGGAATTCTTGAAGCGTGTGTTTTTCAAGATATTGGCTCTGCTTGTTTGTGACAGAACAAGCTTTAGCTGACATTGACAAATCAGCTCATTTATAGCACTGTCTTGGAGAGGTGCAGTGGAATGGCCTCATACTCTCTAATTACAGGCTCTTATTGACTAGATCAATCTCTGGCCATGAATTTAAGCAGCCCACTTAGTGTAATAAAGGAAACCGCCTCTTCATTTCTCTCTCCAAGGCATATGTCTTCTCTGTTAGCAGCTTGTTCTTTTCTGTGACTTGTGTCTAAGCCATGTCCTTCAAGCCACTTAAAATGAACGGGCCAAAATTCACCATTACCTGCAAATGGAATGAAGATTCTTTACCTGTGTTGGCCACTGTTCCCATCACAGTGTTGGAAGAGTTGTGTTCCATTAGCTCCCTGGCTGTTTTGTTCCTTTTTAAAAAATTCCCTTTGTTTTTGGAGGTGCACTGGTTGTTCTTCTGAAAGAAAATGAGAGAAATGTGTATGTGTGCATGCATGTGTATGTTTGAAATTGGACCGCTTCTTCCCTACTACCAGGCTGCCTCTGTTTCTTCTTCTTTTTTTAATTATTAATTGCATTCATCCCCACATTTTCTTCACTGTGTTTAAGATGGCATACGTGGCATCAGAAAAACCCTGGGAGGTAGATCAGGCAGAGAAAGAGTAACTGGCCCAAGGTCACCCAGTGATTTACATTGGTTCAGTGATAATTAGAATCTTTCTCCCAAGTCCATCAACACTCTAGTATTACACTATGTTGATTCCCACACTTCACACTGGAGCTCATATTTCTGTCATCTGAGGAAATGCAAGTCTTTGTTGAAAGTCGACCTCTTCAGCGGATTACATAAAGATTCTGGGTATATATTTTTGCTCTGTATGGGAAAAAGTCAGCCCTTTTCTAATTTATCTCTGTGTCATAGGAATAGCTGTGGTGTGGCTCTGAGCTACAGTATGCAGAAGGAGCCCCTTTTGCAGCTACTCCTTAAGTCAGAATCCTGGGCGTCAGGTGACTGGGACGGGGGGTGGGGGGGAGACCAGACAGCAAGTGTCTCTTACACAGCCTGGTGCATCTCCCGTGATATTTGTGGTACAAGAAGGAGCTACATTGCTGGTAGGACCATGTGAAGGTGGTCAGGATTGTCTTGTCCCAGCTTTGTGCCACTTTCAGTTTCATCTGCAATTGCAGCATCTCTTTGGAGCCATAACAGAAAGCCAGCATTCTGAATCAGCTGCAGAAAAATGTAGCAAAAAGCTGTTGTGTCATGTGGTTGACACACAGTGAACAATTGAGATAGGGAGCTCCTTGGTGCAAGATGCAGTCATGGCCACTGGATTAGATGGCCTTAAAAGAAGTTAGATAAATACATGGAGAATAAGGCTATCTTCTGTGACTCAAGAAGGACATGGACCTCTAGAGTCAGAGGCAGCATTCATCTAAATAATAGTTGCTCGGAGGGGTTATTGTGCTCTTGTGTTGCTTGTGGGTTTCCTAAGAATCTTCTAGTTGAGTGTCGTGGGAAACAGGATGCTGGGCTAGATCAGCTATACCCTCATCTAGCTGTGTTCTGCAGAAATATGTCTGCAAATAATTACTTGTCCTTGTGTGGAGGTGTGTGTGTGTGTGTCTGTGTCTTTGTCTGTGTGACATTTCCACAGTCTCATTCCTGACAGGAACCAACACATCTGCATTTGCAAAGTAGGGCTTTCAGAAGAAGATAGGAGAGATGGCTCACAAAAATCTGGGCTGTTGTTATGTTTCAAGGCTGCTTCTCCC